GAAAGAGTTATAATTGGGGAGCAGATCTAGTCATTAACCAACCAAATTATTGACCATGAGTAACTTTTTCTTCAATTAAATTTATCTAGTTATATCTCTTTCATTTTAGTCCGAATTCAAATATGTTGTACATAGAAGTCATATTAATCATTATTTTTAAAATGACATTCACTTAGATATATTTTGGAACAAAAAAAATTGAGCCATATATTAACAGTCTATACTATGATAGTAATTTTTTATGTACATAAAATTATATCATGAGAAGATGGAAGTGTAACATGATATTATGAACATACCTTTTTTTTTTTATAGAATAAATTAGTATAGAATGATTGTATACATAATAATACGAATATATAAAATATTGTTTACCACCTTATATGAAAAAAAAGCCAAAATTTGTAGATCATAAAAAATTATTATGAACCCTCCTCATCTTCTGTGCAAAAAATTTCAAAATTTATATTAAAATGAAGGTGGTACAAATTGATATAAGGGTAGTAACGAGTGATAATGGAAGATCCGAAATTTTTTCTCAAAATATATCAAAAATCTATATTGTTTTGTAGATCACAATGAACTCGTACGATATATGCAAAAAAATAAAATTCAAAATCCGAATTAAAATAAATAAGATACAAGTTGACTGAAAAGGTGAAAAAATTAATAATAAATCTTTTAATCTCAACTCTTAGATCTTATCCCCCTCAAAACCAAAGAACCAAATTTAATTATAAATAAATGCATAGCTAATGGTTATCCACCCTACCCTAGGACGAGCCTATAATTGAATCAAAGGAAGCCACTAGTCAGTAGTATTGCAAACACAATTTCTCTATGGTGCACATAGCCTTTTTTGTGTATGTGCACACAAAGCCCTCATTGGTCCACCTCAGCAAAAGGACCACCCACTTAAAAATGAGTGGCCAGGAAGCAACGGCTGGAGGAAGGGGGAAAGAAGGGGAGGGAGCGGCTCAAAACGAAGCCGGCTAAGCTGAATGGTGGGTGAGGTTCCCAAAATTAGAGATTAAATATTGAAAATAAAACTCTGAAAATAATCACTCTCTCCTTTTCTCTTTCTTCAACCAAAATAATCACTCTTCTCCTTTTTTTTCTCTGAGACTCTCTCTCACAACCTTCTTCCTCATCTTTTTTCTCTCTCTCCACAATCTGCCATTGAAGAGAAGAAGAAAAATACCAAAGCTTCTTTCTTTCAAATCACTTTTCTCTTTTTTTCTCTGAAACTTCTTCTCTCACAACCTTCTTCCACATCTTTTTTTATTTCTCCACAGTCTGTCATTGGGGTTGAAATCACGGGGGTTAGGATTACTAAGCATGTTCAATATTTGGATAAATATGAGTTGTACTTGTACAAATTAAAATAGTAGGTATTCTTAGTTTATATATATAGAAATAGGTATTCTTATGTTGACATCTTCACGAATATGAGTTCAACCTGTACAAAATGACTCATTTGTAGTGAATATGAGTTGAAAATAATTTTGAATTGAGTTTACACAAGTACTGGTTTCTGAACGATGAATACTAGTTTCTATAAATGATGAATATTACTTAAAACATACAAAATACTAGTTCGAATAAGAAACTAGTATTGTTACACAATTATGAATATTAGTTCGAATAGAATGATGAATTATGTTGGGCTTAAACATGGAACATTGTTACGCAAACTATTATTGAAAAGCATATGAACTATTGAAAAACATATGAACTATTATTCAAAACATATCAACAAGTATTCAACAGACAGATGAACAAATACTCCAGACACAAATGAATATTACTAACGGACAAAAAGAAAAAGGATCTTTATGTACTTTGTTCACTGTTAATAACAGTGTTGAATAGTGGTTTACATAGTACACAATATGCGTTGACATTTGTATGAATATAATTTGAACTAGTATCGAAGATGAGAATTTGAATAATTTTCAGTTAACACTAAATATGAGAATACATGTTGGAACTCATTCAATACTCTTCTTTTATGTTTCAACTTTTAACTAATATGGGTATGCCACCTATTAGATATTTATAAATGCATGTTCTGAGTTTAGTTCAACTCATATTCACTACCAAGTACACTCAATTTGACGTGAGCTAAACTCATATTAATCGTCAATTTAAGTCATATTCAAAACCATGTAAACTTAAACTCAATGGCTATTCAACTTATATTCAATAATAGGCGAAGTCATATTCTTGTCAATTTAAATCATATTCGATATCATGTAAACTTAAATTCAGTGACATATGAGGGCTTTGTGTGCACATACACACAAAAAAGGCTATGTGCACCATAGCGAAATTGGCGGACAATTTAAACATGAAACATTATTACGCAAACTATTATTGAAAAGCATATGAGCTATTATTCAAAACATATCAACAAGTATTCGACATATAGACGAACAAATACTCCAGACACAAACGAATATTACTAACGGACAAAACGAAAAAGGATCTTTATTTACTTTGTTTACTGTTAGTAATAGTGTTGAATACTGGTTTACATAGTACACAATATGCTTTGACATTTATATGAATATGAGTTGAACTAGTATCGAAGATGAGAATTTGAATAATTTTTAGTTAACACTAAAAATGAGAATACCTGTTGGAACTCATTCAATACTCTTCTTTTATGTTTCAACTTTTAACTAATATGGGTATGCCACCTATTAGATATTTGTAAATGCATGTTCTGAGTTTAGTTCAACTCATATTCACTACCAAGTAAACTCAATTTGACGCGAGCTAAACTCATATTAATCGTCCATTTAAGTCATATTCAAAACCATGTAAACTTAAACTCATTGGCTATTCAACTTATATTCAATAATAGGTGAAGTCATATTCTTGTCAATTTAAATCATATTCGATACCATGTAAACTTAAACTCAGTGACAAATTCAACTCATATTGAATACTAGTTCACTCATATTCCTTGTCATTTAGGTAACATTCAGTACCATGCAAACTTAAATTTAGTGACTGTCCAACTCATATTCAAGCAGCACAAGACCAACCATAGGTTCCAACAAACGGGCAGGGCTAGATCCAAATGTACATGGGCCCATTTATTTCGTGTCGTGCTTGGCACGGCCCGTCAGTTTTCGTGTCGTGCCATGCAAGCCCATTTGTTAACTTTGCTAGGCCCGGCCCAGGCACGGTTCGAATCGTGTCATGCCTATTCGTGCTCGTGTCATGCTCATATTCGTGTTTAATGAAAAAGACGAAAACAAAAGAGAGAATGAAAAGGAAGGTGAAAATTGGACGGATGAAGATAGTATTAACCGATAATGTTTGAGAAAAGTAACAAATAAGGTGGAAAAGAAAATTGGAAGTATAGCGAGTATGATTTGGCTTTGTTTAATTCTTTGTCCATTTTTACTTATGTTAGTAATTACGTATATATCTTTTTGACACTTTTAACAACAACAAATAATTATTTTTCTACTTGTGTTTTGTAACATTTGAACCTATAATTCTTTTAATATTTATTTTCTATCATATAAATATTATTTTCGTACCATGTTCGTTCTTATACTCAATAAAGTCTCGAAAATATTAGGCCCAACACGGCCCACTTATATACTGTGTCGTGCCCGTGCTCGTGCATGTGCCCATGAAGTTTAGGCCCGACACGGCCCATAAGTTATTCGTGCTCGTGCCGGGCTGGCCCATTTATTTCGTGCCCGTGCTCGTGTCGTGTTGTGCTAGCCCGTGGGCGGCACGGCCCGGTGCCCACCTACATCTACAAACCAATTACAACCTTATACAAAAATAACCAAAATTTGTAGATCATACAAAATTATTATGGAGGTGGTACAAATTGATTTCAAGGTAGTACGAGTGATAATGAATGGTCCAAATTATTTTCTCAAAATATATAAAAAATCTATATTGTTTGGTAAATCACAATGAACTCGTACCATATATGCACATAAAATTCAAAATCTAAATTAAAGTAAATAAGATACAAGTTGATTGAAAATCAGATTGTGTGTAGTCCTTGTGGATAAGCTCACTGGTAGAATTAGATCGTGGCGTGCTAATAAACTGTCATATGCGAGTAAGCTCCAATTGATATCCTCTGTACTCTACTCTCTTGTTCAGTTCCGGATGAATATTTTTATACTGCCAAGGAAGCTCTTGGATCAAATTCATAAAATTTGTTAAGATTTCCTTTGGTTTGGAAAGGGCACGGGCCGTGCAAAGGTTGCGTGGGACGCTATTGCATTTCCTAAGAAGGAGGGAGGAATGGGACTGAAAGACCTGGAAAGCTGGAATATCGCTTTACTTCCATTCCTTACTATTCTGCATATCCACTGAAGCAAGACTTCCCGCGAGCTAGGCCAATAACTTGAGCCAAACATGGCGGCAAAAACCTGCAGAGAAAACAAACATGTGTAGAATAAATCTTGAACAGAATTACTACTCTAGACAAGTTGAAGCAGTGGGAGAAAGTGAATGAAACATCATGTGTGTTGTGTGGAACAGAGGAGGAAAATAGAACACATTTATTCTGCACATGTTCGTTTTCTCTACAAGTTTTTGCAGCCATGTTTGCCTCAAGTTATTGGCCTAGCTCGTGGGAAGTCTTCCTTCAGTGGATCTGCAGAATAGTAAGGAATGGAAGTAAAGGTTTTGTGCAGGGGGCTATATGGTGCTGGTATCTTAGTGTTTTTTTGGAAGGAACACTGCATTCATATATATATATATATATATATCAAGGCAACAAGAAAGAATCCAGGCTGTTGATTCAGCAGTTAATTGAAGACTTCAATTTTTATGCTATGGAAAACTTTGCTTTTCTTACAGAAGTTAGGATGTCTCTTGTCTTTTAGTTAAGCGGCTTATGTAGTTCTGTTAGTTTTTTGTATACAGAACAGAGGAGCAGAGTTGCTCCTGGGTTTTTGCAGGTCCTGGTTTCCCCAGGCGGTGATTAGTGAAAGCTGATAATTACCGGGGGAAAAAGTGAAAAAAAGATTAAAAATCTTTTAATCTCAACTCTTAGATCTTATCCCACTCAAAACCAAAGAACCAAATTTAATTATAAATAAATGCATAGCTAATGGTTATCCAGCCTACCCTAGGACGAGCCTATAATTGAATCAACGGAAGCAGCAGTATTGCAAACACCAGATAAGAAGAAAAACGGAAACCTCAATCGGGTACAGTTCTTGCCTAAGCTATTGCTATACGTAAATAGAACCCTACCAATCGGTCGAAGCTCGCTCTGCTCTCTGTCTACAAGTAGGAAAAATGGTAACCAAAACAATAAAAAGTACAACAGACACCGAAATGAAATTTTCAGGATCGCGAAAACCTGGTCCTCCCGTTGTTTTGCATATAGATACAGAGAAAGATAATGCTCCAAGAATCTCTTCTTCAGATATGAGTTGACCGCTGATCCTCCTTTTCAAGCCCAAGTTCTTTGGACACGAGTCTCAGCAGAACTTGAACACAGTCTCGCACTTTAGCTTCCCTGTCCCAATCAATCATCAAACAGTTTCAGCATGAAGAGGTCGAGATTGTCACCGCAATCCCTACTAGTTTGTTTTGGAAGGTTTCCTTACCGTGTCATTATGAGCTCACACAATGATGGGAACAGAACGAGCAAATGTGGACGCCTCTTCTGTTCTTCCTTGTCCGCCAAGCCATCTCTCAAATAAGGATGTAAAGGAAGGACAGTTGCTGTTTCGGGATGGATTTCGAGACATGCAAGCTCTTGAAGCACGTACTTGATCTCTTCCAGCCTAGTTCTTGGCAGCGGACGATCACCTACAGTTTGCGGGTATGAAACAGAAACATTAAATATTAGTCTGTCTGGAGAAGTTCGCTAAGTGCAGCACAAGCTACGTACCCAAGTGTTTTTCATCAACTAGAAATCTGTTGAATATGTAGTGGCATCGGCTTAGAAGGAGTGTGATCGCAATTTTGCTCACTTCAGATCTCGTAGAGTTCCAACTCGTCATTTCATTGTCACAACTGAGGTCACATTACAACTATGTTACACTAAGTTCTTAGTGAATGGAAGAACATATCTCACAAAAAAGAGCTATAACTATAGAAATTTTCGCCAAGTGAGGACATTACCTGCTCAATGCAAATACCTTCTGCAAGCAATGCATGGAAAATCTGCTACAGTGGGGCGGCATAAGCTCGACTGTCTCAACCGGCAAAGAGCACGTTCGTGATGCACAGCCATCCATCGTGGAAACTAGTCGTTGTAGAATCTGTACAAAATCAGAGCCATTGAGATAAGAATACAGCGGGCATCAATTTAGGAATCGTGGATTTTAATTTTATCCCAGTTTCACAGAACTATACATCGACAGGGGCATCAGTCTGCAATTTAAGAATCTTGTCGCCTAGAACTTTCAAGAAGGCCATCTCGAGCGCCTCGTCTGCTTCAAGTGCTATGGGTGAGACAGAGGTGGTGGGAATGGCACGCCCACAGTAACCCAACAGGAATATTTCATACACGTCGGCAACTTCCTTCCACACACGTAGTCTGGCAGGCCGGCTAACTTCTGAATCAGGCTCACCGTCTTTGCAGACGTCATCGATGAGGATGCGATTGAAGCCTTCAACAGCAGCCCGCCAGAGTGAACCGTCTGGATTATCTCTTCTTGTCGTCATGCATCTGGCAAACATATTTTGAGATATTTTTAGGACTCTTCAGAGAAATTGAAAAATTAGGATACTACATCTTTACTAAAATTTAAATTTTTTCGAAAATACAAAGCAAACACACCCTTACTACATAAAGTACCAAGGACACAAAAACAGTAATAAAGCACAATAGGACCATTACCTTCCAAGGCTTTGAATTATTTCCGGGAAAATGATATACTTCTCAACAGTCGGAGCTTGAAGCAAGAGTTCAACTAGCACAGGGACTAGCTTCTCTGCAAAAGAATAATTTGAAATGACAGCCGCAGCTGGTCCGGAGCTCTGGGGTGGAGATTCAACTTGTTTTGAGAGGCCAGAACTAGCTCCACTCGGGGTTTCATTCTTTCTCTTCATTAGGTTGTCTAGGAAGAAAATTGTGATTAAATCAAAGTATTATTTCAAACGCATAAATCCCAAAAAAGGAGCATGTAACAAATGTGTACCAAGTCAATTCAATACCTGCAGTATTTTCTCCTAAGCTCGCTTGTTTAGCTACCTCATCCTCATCATGTAAAAGATCGGACTTAGGAAGGTATTTGAAAATCTCCCTTAGCAAGATTAGCCACATTCCAGAGATTTGCTCACTTGGACGTAGCAAAGGTAAGACTTCCAGGACAGTACGCATCACAGGTGGAATGTGCCCCTAGAGAAGAAAGAATCAGTTCGATTAGACACGGTTCCATCATCTCAATGTGGATGAAAGATTAATACACCAGGGATGGAGAGTGCTTCTCTTACAAATTCAGCTTCAAAGTTTTCATTGGTCATCAGTGCTTGCTTAACAGCCAACTTTATGATATCAAGCACCTGAGAGAACATGTGATCATCAAACATCTTATGTGCCTGCACATACAGTTCTCCTGCCAACATAGTAATGAGTTCAGTGAGGCATAAGTATAAGCACAAGTCACAGTAAAACAAGGGTTTGCCAGATGATCAGTAGCATCTTGAGCTCATAGACCTCATGAATTTCTATCATGATGGATGTAAATCTCAAATCGTGTTGCTCTTGTATGCATATGCAGCTAACGACACTACGGAAGTTTCAGGATGAAGTGGATTACCCAGACCATGTATGATCTCCTGCTTCACCTTGCTAGTTGCATTACCACCGTAGCTTAATGGTCTTTGCATAACATACTCGTAAACTTCAAGTATCGAGACAAGGTAAGACATTGGCAGATTTCCCTGAATAGCACCCAAAGAAGGCAAAAAAATAAACAATAGAAAGAAGGCTGGGAGTATGTACAATTGTGCTACATGCACAATCTGAGAAAGATAATAATGATAAGGCGGCAGGATTCAAGCTGCAATTGTTGCACAAGATCTGGTTTAGTGATAACGAGATGACCTTGTGAGCATGAGAAATAACAGTTGTCTGAAGACAATTTATTGCAGCAATGGCAACCTCTTTGCTGCTACTTAAAGTGCTATTCTTTACAAACAAAATCAACGACTCCCACCCTGCATGGATCCAAACATTATGCAAGATTCATGAGAACCTATTCTGTCGAAGGCACTATGATAGGAGATAGGAAGCAAGTTCGCAGCTTACCTGCCCAAAAGTTTTTCAGGCCACTGAGAAATGGAAAGAACGAACGTAGCAAACGTGCTATTCCACCGAGGACTAGAACAAGTGTTTCATCCCACTGCTTTTGAGCAGTGTTCCGACTGCAAATTCAAGCATAGAAGAAAAAAATGAAACAAAAAGGTTTTGACTGAGGTAGGAACTTTTGTAAGAGTCTAATTTCAGTTTGATTCCTTCCTAAACCATATTTAAACCTGTGATGAATCAACATATGAACAGCTTTCCCTCCCCGAGTTCCTAGTTCTTTGCCCTGCCATTCATCTTTCGAGGAAGTAGCTACCTACAAAAACCACTTGAATCTGTTGAAACAAACAAGAAATGCGCTCTCACACAAAAATCTAATGACAGTGCTGCTACCATGTGAGATGCACGATCCAAAGCAGGGAAGATGTAATTCCAGAGACAGTCTTCCCACATTCTTCTTGAAAGCTTTTGCCCATGACTCCCTAGAGTTTGAAAAAGTGTCCTGACAGCTGCATTTCTAACCTGTAATGAAGAACCAGAGTTTCTCATTCAAAAAGATCAGTCAACAGCAATGACAGACTAATTCCTTCAGTTAAATATTGGTCTCTCAAATCCGAATTCAATTAGCAAGTGCACTTTCCTACTCAGACAGAAACTCACTACGCAAAAACAAGGTATTATACCTCCGGCCTTTCGTCAGCTCCCAGCCTCTGTAGTAAAGAGAAAACAGAGAAGAGCAATTGGTCGCAGTCCATGACATGTTCTGAAGGGGGCTCATCAGTGAATGAATTAGGTGATGGAGGAGTCTCTTCTTCTTTTGATTTTCCCTTAATAGGATTCTGGTCAGAATGCATGCCTAAAGTACCTGTCAGTCACCAGGTATTTGGAAAGTTCAACATCACAAACATTTGAAATGATCAGACTGAACTAAGCTAAAGGGTTAGTAGCAACTTGTTTGCTTGTCTTGTGGTGGCCTATTTGGAACTGCCTTAGCAATAAAATCAGCTGTCGTCCACAAGAGGCCTACTGCTGTCAAACTTATATTAAGCGCTGTCTTCTGTCCACTGTATGCTCCACTGACATCAATGCATCTGCATTACCAACATAAATACAGGTTTAATTATAGCAACAACTTGAAATCGGGATATATCTTGGATGTGTTTCCACTTTGCTTGACAAAAGCACTGATGTATATGCATCAGAAACGAAATCAGCACTTCACCATCAAACTAAATGTAGTCAGAGAGGCACATCTTGAGTGCAAAAAACCCAAACACAAATTATAAGCACAGCAGCAATATGATATAAGACCGTCCCAATGCATAACCTACTACCATGGTTTGATCTTCAAACTTAAATCATAATGGGGCTTCAAAATAAGATTTATATGAAACTGCCAGAACATGTGCTAAGTTGATGCAGAAAATATCAATTAGGAAACTTACACGTTAAGGCACTCTACAGGTAATAAGATTTATATGAAACTGCCAGAACATGTGCTAAGTTGATGCAGAAAATATCAATTAGGAAACTTACACGTTAAGGCACTCTACAGGTATAGAGGTAATCGCATCATTCATTATAACACGGAGACTCTGCAAGAGATAGAATTATACAAAACCATTATCACGATTCACTAACGAACTAACACAAAAAGCGTAAAATAATGGTCAGAAAAAAGACTTTTAAATAACCCGTAATATATTAAAGTTAACAAAACACGATCACACAACCATAATCACATGTAACATTCATAAAGTATCATTTGGAAAAAATGTTCGAAATAATATATATAAATCTAACGGTCAGATCATCTGGAGCATACTATGCTCCTGGAGTATACCAGTCGTCTCCATATATATATAGTGACTACTTCAGTGCACACACTTTTTTTGGGTGCATTAATTCTAACAATGATCATAATACTTTAAACTTTAATTGATAGCATTAGTCTAATATGATAATATAACATAGAATCACAACTAATCAATCCATTATCCTAACCCTTTAACCTTCAATTTTGAATCTCAACTCAAAATCCCAAATTCTAAACTCTAACCCTAAATTCCTAAACCCTAAATCATTCAAATTAAAGTAAAATATTGAATGATTTTTAAACAAATCCATGTGTTTCTTATTCATCATACCATAAGTGACGATTGACATCGTTTTCACATAAATTGTCAGCCCCGAATGACGATAATTAGGCGAGTGCATTAAACGTCCCCAAAAAAGTGAGTGCAACGAAGACATAACCATATACACAGGGTGAAATCCGAGGTACCGCATACCTTAAGTATGAAAACGCTATCTAGACTTTGAATTGACTGATCTTTCGTACATGATACTATACTCTAACCTTTAAAGATCAAAACTTATGTCTTATTTCTCTAAATCTTATATCCAAGATCAATTTAATTAGTAAAAATAATCGACGGTTATGATTCGTCCAAATATAGACAAAAAAAATGAATGTACAATCTTAGGGTTTATAGTTTATGGTTTAGATAATTAGGACCTAGGGTGCACTCATTAAGGTTTATGGTATAGTTTCTGGCCAAAAAATCCTACTAATTCGAGGTCTAGTAGCATTTTCACCCGAGGTACCGCAGAAGCCACCATATATATTGAAAATTTTGCTTTTGAAAATATGACAAACTATGAAAATATTAGAGGAAAAACATTAATTAGCATACATATAAGTACGATTTATGTTAGCAAATCAAAGGGGGAAAAAACCAAGTGTATTAAATTAGAGAGTTGTATGATTGAAGTAAAAAAGATGAATTAGGAACTGAAAAGAGAATTTTTGAAGGAAAAGGTATTCAAGTTAGTATGGACTGTTGTAGTTAGTCTAATATTTGAGACTCAACTTCACACATGTAAACAGTGTGCACAGGAACACAGGTACACAATTCCTTAAACATATATATAAGATAATTACGCATACTGGACGGGTTCCTAATTCCCAAAAAAGCATCCAAGTATCAGTGGATCATTAAAAACATTAGATATCTACTTAACTGATGGTATCTGTAAAGATCTAGAAGAAAAACAGTTTAAACTAACCTTAAAGCCCAGGGATATAAGATCTTTCTCTGGTGAATCAGCAATGCGCCTTGAAATGGTGAAAAAACATCAATGATCAGCCAGAGAAACAGAAATCAAGTCTGACAACGTTAATGACAATTTAAATTGCAAACCTCAGCAGTTCTAAAATATCTGGCCAACTGTAGTATAACTTTTCACCATGTCTCTGAGAGGAATAGATTTTCACGGTCAGTTCTTGTTACAAATTAAAATTATCTTAAGCAATTATATATAATATCATAATAATTGAAACCTAGTTAAAAAAATCATTGTCATCTCCATTAATGGTGTATTACCTCCAAAACATTCAGAAGAATCTTTAACGATCCAGTACGAACATCAACGCTTTGAGAGGAAAAATAGAGAACCCTAATGGGAGATATGATGGAACACTCGAGTGTTTTCAGCTCTGTATTGCTCGTCATCTGGGGATAGAGAATACATAATGATGAGTAACGACTCCATATATTGAATGAGTAACAAATTATGTTAGTCATCCCTAAAGCTGTTGTTCACTTACATCTGGTGGCCCATTGGATCTGGATGACACATAATCATGGAAGCTTTCAGAACCTAAAATTGCAGTCATTGAGCGATCTAATGCATCAAGTGCCATGGCTCGTAAATGTTGATTAGGGGTATCAGCAAGCTGAAAAATATGCAATGCAACGGATGTAGGAAGTGATAAAGTACATTAAATACCAAAAGGAAGGGATAAAAATCCCATATCACCTCCAGGAAGTGACCAGCAATCTGACCCCACAGTGGTCCAACTCCTGCAATGCAATGGGTTAATTAAGAATAACAGGGGTAACACAAGCTCCATAAGAAACACCCTTCAGGAGAGTAAGAAAGAGGAGAGAGGGAAAAAAACGAAAAAGAAAGTGGGCACAGAGCACAATATAATATCCCCAGCAGCAGTAAGACGCACTGGTAAGACCACAAAATCTAGCCATACACAAAGTTTGAGTTTCAGGAAGTAAGCGTATTCCTACTGTGAACATTGTTGGAAACGATGGATAGCATCCTCTCGACAGCAAAACTAATGGTTCCTATTTTTTGACTGATTCCTGGTCCAAAGCTGCCCGATACTGTTGCTGTGGACATGCATTGATATGACAATTGGCACAGTGCAGAAAGTAGTGATTTAACAGCAGCTATATGCATCATTGCTGAGCTCTCAAACAGCTTCACCAAAACAAGAAAACAAAGTTAGAGAAGGTATGAAATCAACTCTGGCCCCTCTTTCCTAAAGAGATTAAAGGCAATAAAAGAGGGAGAAGACAAAAATGAAGGACCAACTTGAAACATTTGCAGGCCATGCTCATTTGATCATAACCAAATATTCTAAGGCAATTCACTTTGTCAAACCCTGATGTAATTGAAAACTAATAGTAGCATCTCTTGAAAATTTCACATCCCTGAATTATTTGTTACCTGAGAATTCAAAGAAGAAAGAATGCTGAAATCACTATATTGGCCAGAAGATTCTCTTGTAAGCTTGGGCACAGCTGCGGACACCTCCTGCACAAACCCAAAATGAAGTTGTTAACGCACAAAAGTTCACCAGCATATTCTGTGAAGAAAGAAAAAGAAAGAGTCCAGAAACATAGAGCACTTAAGGTGACTGCCTAAGACTGACAATAAGGAAGCTGAAAGATATTAGAAAGTTAAGATGTATATGGATGCCTCTCGGCCCATGGTTAATTGTGTGGGAAAAGTCTGCTCTATTTAACTTTCTTTTCAACCTTTACCAATTTGGACTTATGGGGCCAAACAAGGAGTGGGTAAATGGTGGTAGGAAGCATTTTGTTGAATATGTTGTTTTTTGGTTTTTCCTATTGAAAAAACCTATCTCCATGACTACGTGTACTGATGGTATAAATAAGCAATAATTGGATCAAACTAATTAGGACAAAAAAAATACAAATCTTACAAAAAAAAAATATATGTTTACATATTTACCTGTGTACTAGCATGTGGTGAATGGATTGCTCTGTCTAGAGCAGCTAAAGTTTCCAAAACCTGTATTTACCACAATAGAAGCATTACCAAGCTGCAGTCTTGCATACTTTTGACACCAATAAAATCTCGACAGAAAAATGACGTACCAAAACCCATGATGGCCCCAAAAAATTGTGCAATCTATGAGAAACGTTGAAGAGAGTCCTCAAGGCCTGAATTAGAAGAGCAGTTGGACAACAATTTACAGACAGTTAAAGTCCCAAGTAGGGAGTGAAAGCAATTACTTAATTAAAGTACGGAGTGGAAAAAGAGAGATGAAAGTGCCATATAAGAAGTGGGACAAGTACCTGCACATTCTTGGTAGTAAGAACTATGGAGTCCTTCTGTTCAACTAGTTGCTCAGAACGTTTTGACCCTGGAGACTGTGCTGCACTGTAGAAATGACCATTTAGTCCAGAACTTTAACATTTTCATGCAACCAAATCTTGGAAGTGGATGCAAAGTCGTAGAAACTGCATCACCAGCACCAGCTAAGCAAGCTTCAACCAGCAGTTTTAAAAAATACTGCTCAGTTAGATTAAGTGCAAAGGGCAAAATCATAAAGCTCTCAACTCGATCGAACTCTAATTATCCACTTGTTTTCTGACGCAGCTAGAACTTTCCCTTAAGAACTGTCAACTTTCAGAAAGTATCTCCAGTGGCAGCCTTGTTGAAAATGCACTGGATAGGTACTGCTAGTTAAGTCCACAGTTCCAACTGCCGATTCAAAGTCCCCTAGCACTTAGAAGCTTCCTTATAAGTTACAAATATACAACATAACTTGAAATGGGTACGCCCAATTTTCTGAAAGTGCTAGGGAATCAGGATCTACGTCATTTAAGGACTAGACTTAGAAGGAATACAAAGAAGGAACGTAAATTCAGAGGGCGCGAGCTGGTATAGTGTAAGAACTTTCTCATGATGGTAGGACACAAAGCTTCAGATGATAAAATATGAAAAATGAACCTCTGTTAACAGACTGGAACAGATAGTTGAAACGCACCTCCTCTTCTCTACTTCATTTGGGACATTGATGGTGAATTTACAAAGCGATGCAAGAAAAGAGTTCAGAGGCTCAACAGCATGAAGAATCCCACATGCCTGTAGAATAAACCTAGAATTCATAAGCATCATTTACAAAAAACTATGTGAATCGGTAAAGTTAGGCCATATCATCATCTACTTAACACCACAAGGTTTACAAGACCGTTCTGAGCCAATGTAAAAATTCTTATTACCTGTGTGAATGCCTGGTAACCTTTCAATATTTCCAAGACAATAGCCTCTCCTTGTGACCTTTAACATAAGATTCTGGTCAGGAATATGCATAACTTTGATTTAGGTTTGAAAAAGAAAAGAGCAGGGATTTCAGAGCAGTCTGAATGGACCATGCTCCTTTATGATGTTGAGAAGAGACGAGGGAGAAAACGATCAACCAAACAAAATCTTAGACTGAACTGATTTGGGATAACTCAACCAACCTTGATAAAATAAGGGACAACGCATCAAGAATAGTCAACCAGAATGAGTCTACCATTGCGAGGCATAGCACTGCCAGTTGACCAGCGCATTTGGATGCAGGATCATGATCAAACTTAGGGGATTCAAGCTGGATGCAGCCAAAAAAACAAGATCTACCATCCTTTAGTTTCTGAGAGATGTGCATTCAAGAGACTGGGGCAAGAGAAATATAATTACAAAAGTATAATATAAATACAGTACAATCACCTCTCCAGTGTCTACTGCTTCATCTGTCAGAGTAGCCACTGTAAAAACAACACCGAGGAGCCCTTCAATTGCCAGTGTTATTAGATGTGCTTCGCTAGCAACCACCACAGCTGCATTGGATGCATCATTATCAAGGCTCCACTCAACTCCTGCATTAATACAAACTACGGAATTACAAAATAAAAAATGCAACAAGGTCGTAAGTTCATATACAGGTGAGAACAAGTGACGCAAGTAAATCAGTCATGAATAATGTCAATTCTGAACCATTGTACATCGTGACCTTTCACAATAAGTTGCTTATCATACACACCAGTACCATGACACGGGATGGTCCATCAGACAAACCCCAATTCACCACCAGCACGAGAAAATCATTTGACCCATATTTTCAGTTCTCAAATAAAAGTGTCATGCAATTTACTAGAATATAAAGGAGATACAACTTTCATTCACCATTAGCATGCAAAAAAAAAAAACTTGATACTGAAAGAGATACTTTCCACATATTTGATTCCTCAACTAAATTTGGATGGCAGGAAATCCCTTTTTATCATAAGCAACTTATTGTGAATAAATACCAGCTTCTCTTTTCTACTAAAACTAAAGAAACGCTAAACAGCTCCGGCTTGAAATCATCACAAAACTATCACAGTGCAAACACAGCACAAATTCCAAATTATAATGTTTATTGAATTCAGAGGCAATGCTCATCTGTTTGTTTACGAATGTCAGTAACAGCTTTGCAAACCATTCATATCGCAGCAAGGTGATGATGGTAAAATTTTGGTCACTTCACGGAATGCTACCTTTAGCTTTACTACTAAACATTCCTGCAACAGCTGCCAAGCTCTCCTCGCTTGCTTCTTGAGCCTAAAATTGCAAAGAGAACTTTTATATTATTAAGAAAATTAGTATGGACAAAAGACAAGTTGTAAAACCTTTTAACTCCCACACTTGGAAGACAGAATTATTGACTAATAAAGGGTATTGACATGAGGGCACTACGACCAGGATGAGAGTAGATAACAACCTTGAGGCTTAATTATATAAGAAGAAAAAAACACTGACAGGTTGGTAGTCCTATACAACCATAAATGTGGAGGTTATTAAACCACAGTGATAGCACCACGAATATAAAGCACCAAATGGTACTCAATGGCACGAGAATAGAGAGGCTAAAAATACTGTAGTTTGACTGTACTTCAAAACTGAAGCAACATCTTAAACCAATCATTATCAGTAACAGAAACAGAAACATACAACATAAAACAATAACGATGAAGTGCAGTTTTCTCTAACGTGTTCCTCTTACCAAAATTAATCGATTACCAAAAGTATAAACAGTAGGTGCCAAAAGCGTGAACACATACGCAGAAGAAACAGGTACTCCAAACGTGGAACTAGCCACATTTATCAACAAAAAAACGCGGAACTAGTTCCAAAGCTTGTATGAAATATCCATTAGATAGGAAACACGAAGCAATTATTAGCATCATTTATAATGAAATAGGAAACCGAAGCTGTCAAGCCAAAGGGTAGATAAACAAAATATAGACTTCAGTTGTTCGCATCAAGATGTAATTATTTAGTCAGCCATCTACAAACAAACAAAAAAAGTTTGACTAGACTTAAAAGCTCATCACATACAAACTGGAATATACTTAGGAAAAATTGTCTCCAAATGAAATAAAGAATAACTATTGCGAAACTGATTAGGCCATTAATTACTACGAGATGCCTGCCCCACTAAACAACCTAAACAAATACCAAATAATCTTTCACCTGTACATTAGAAACAACTCGAGCGAGTGCTTTAACCATACTCTCCACAACATTAATGTTCTTGGGGTGCCTGCAAGGTAGACATGAGTGCAATTATTACATGTACCAATTAGCATCAGGGGGAGAAATCTCTTGTGAAAGAAGAGGTGACCAAATTCATGAAGTTATCAACACTGAAACAAATAAAAAATGACAAATATGTAAGCAAGTTTGCATTTCTGTCCAGTCATTTGTTCTTCTCACTAAAACACTTTGCATGCAGATATTTCAGTAGATTACACGATTATGTTGGTAGTATAACAGCTGAAACTACAAGACGACTGGAGAAAACACAAAGAACATGTAAAATTCCGATGTACTATGACAGCTCAACTTCTTATTCCGGTTGGTCTATATGTAACATCACAAGTAACTAGCAAGAGAGGTAGCAGTAAAAAAAAAAACTAGCAAGAGAGGTTGATGAAGTTCACAAAAATGTTACTCTTGCACTTTCCCGCCATTTTGTGCTCGCAAGCTCATAAATTTGATGGTGCAACAACACAGACAGGTGAACATGCATCACCAAATAAAGTTCAATTTCCAAAGTGTTGAAGATACGTGATTACTGTCCCAACAGTGGCCTACTTGTTCTTAGACTGGAAATACACTTGCTTCCATGGAATAGGCTACAGTCAAAAGTGTATAGGATCCCTACTCATCCTCACTATAGAGGAGTCGAATATACAGAACAAAAGAGAAAAAGTCATAGATGGAGACAGACAGAAAAATAGAGACTCTCGAACATTTGACAATGCGAGAAGGATAAACTGAACATATCTTACATATCGAAGTTCTGGAATAGGATCCGCAAAGTCCTTGCTTCCACACAGAACCCCTGAAAAATACAAATGAACGAGTTGGTACAAATTGTTAATTTCTACCCAAAAAAAACAAATTGTTAATATATGAAACAATCCAGAAGCAACAGGAGACATTACCCGCAAGATCTCAAGAACAAGAATGCGATGCCAAAGTGGTAGATCAAGAAAGATAACCTTCACGAGCATGCTAATGAAAACCTGCACTTCAGAGGAGAACGTTTCTTATGATGAACAGGTCAGTTAGAACTTAGAAGACATTTGAGCATTACAAACAGCATTGTGCATACGGAAAAGCCATTGAAGTTTCAAGCATTTGACATAGAAGCACTTTAACTTATAAGAAACCACTGAGAACTTCCTAAAAGGATTTGAAGAATGTAAGAGAGTACCTTCCCCTATTACATTAGAATTAACAATAAATAAATAATTTCAAAACATACCTCTGTCTCTGTGACAAGTGCTGTACTGTACAACCTAATAATATGAGAAACCGATCGCAGAACCAACCGCCGAAATGAAGGTTCCCCAACTTCTCCTTCAAGCTGGGAGAAGTTAAAAGGCCAACATTGTGTGGTTGTTAGATTCCTCTTAAAATAGAAGAAAAAAACGTCCTACCCTCATAAAGAAACCTACCTCTGCATCAGTACGAAGTGAAGTCATCAAAAGAGAACATATCTGGTGGCGCAAAACCTGTTTAGTTATAAAACGAATTTCATAAAGAGAAAAGCTATGAGCACAGTTGATTAACAAAACTGGAATGAGGATCCCTACAGAATTAATTCTACGTAATACCTCACCTGTTCAAAAGGAACCAGGGTCTTGAAAATAACCACATAAGTCGATAGAATGAACCTATAGAGTGGAGGAATTGTGAGAAACAGACAAGTTTGCACAAAATGTCTCTTGATAATAAGCCAGGAAAGATAAAGAACAAATGTGCAAGATACAAAATTTTGGAAATAATAATCTACAGACAGAAATTTCAACTACATTTTGGACTGATGACTTATAGTGGGTATGGACAAAGCAACTGCGATGGCAACAGGAGCAACTTGACAAAATGCACACAGCCTCTTGGCGCTAAAAGTTTGGTGGTGAAAAATCCCACCGAGTAGCAGAAGGCAAAGCTTGGCTGATACAGTTTAACATACCATTGGTACGTTCTCTATTTTATGTACATGATGAACTTTATTAATAGAAGAAAGGAAAGTGGAATACACAAATATGATACTGAACGTTAAAACAGATACAACCAAAATAAGCATGGATGGCAGAATCCTAACAATTGCTATATATTAATACAAGTAAAAAGCTGGGAACATGCAAAGTACTCTATTTCAGTAAAAATGGAAAACCCGCCCATCAGGCACCCGAGAAAAGGAAAAGAGGAGGGGGCGGGGGAGGACAACGAAGAGTAAAAGATAGGTAACAAATGGGGAAAAAATGGTGTAGTGTCAGTCCCCTGTTGTTAGGGTATATTGGATCAAAGAGCCTAGAGTTTTCTACCACCTCAACCTGAAAATAACTACCCTAAAAGCAAATTATTGTGCACAAAGAACAGTATAAGGATTAAGAACAATGAAAAAATGAAATAGAAGAGCAAGCGACATACTCAAGTATATCAAGTGCAAATATCCGTTGAAGTGAATGAACTTGCAGCCAATTTGCCTGTAAGAGAAAAGGCTCAATTAGTTATATCCATTTGATAACCTTACAAAAATAACAAACTAATTGAGACAAACCCAAAAATGTCATACAACGAAAACAAGGAACATTAAATGCAGCAAGAGTGTATTCAATAGACTGATAGTTCCAAATAGCACATACAGATCCACCTGCAGCAAGAGCTGTCAGGTCTTCTAGTAAGCGAAGTCCAATCTTTCCAGGATCTGTCAGGGTCTCTTTCCTCAATAATGATCTCTCAGATTCTAAGTCTTTTCCAGGTGACCTGTTCATGCTTAGTTAGAAAAGTAGGAGAGCGTGTTTTATGATGAAATTTACTGAGAAAGTACACCAATAAATGCACAAATTCTATAATCTCTCCCTCAGCTTCTCCCACGTTGCTACTCTTATATGGAACACTCTGGCCTGGCTTAGTTATACTTAAATTGGTTACAGGAGGTCTTAGAAAATAATGTTTATATCAACATATATACAGTTTTGTTCATCTATATACTACGGGACGCACATGCCAGAATTATTGCATAAACCAGGCGTGATTTCTTCAAGGCGTGACATACTCTGAATGGTTCATACTCCGATTAACATCAACAGTAACGGAACTAGATCGAGAAAGATGAACTCCGGAAGAAAACTTCCCCACAGGAAGAGTCTCAGCAACAACTACTTGATCAAACACCAATGCTACTGCCTGTCGGAAGGTAGCGGCAGCAGTGCTGAAAAAGGAATCACAATTAAAATGGATATATCCCATGAGACACAATGACCAAACAAAATGTCCGGAATAAACCTTATCACTGAAGTCAGCATGCAACAGTTTAACTTACTTTCTTACGCTATCAGAGCTACGGTTGTTCTCAAGAAGCCGAAGACATACATATAGTGCTTGAGCCATATTTTCCTAAGACAAAACATTGCATTAGACGCATAACAGCTTTGAGTGTCATTGTGAAGCCAGGCATCAAATAAGCAACCATATCACCCTCTATGCATTGGTAGGTGATTTTTGGGCCCTACCAAGGGAAAGGAAAAGATATTTGATAAGCTTCCTTTAACATTCTTTATCAATTAATACTTTCATTTTTTTCAATAAAGTTTACACAGACAGAACCTACCAAAAGAGTCGTAAACCAAACAATTCATAGAAAAATCAAATGAAAGTGACAAGAACCTCATTTTGTGGGTGTAAACGTGACTGAAACAATATCAACAGAGTCTGCAGGGTTCTAAGTTGAACACTGTCATCTGCCATCTCGGAATGCTGCACAAAGAAAGTGATACGTCCAAAATTATAACTAGAATCTAATAGCTGGTAACTCAGGGTAAAAGAATGCAGAGAAACTGATATGAAAAGGAATTAAGTTGAATAGTCAACCAATCTATTTGCACTGGATTCATATGGATCGCAAGTTCTTGTACCAGTTCATTCTAAAATGTGTGTTGAACTAAGACAACAGTTCATAGGAAAGACGTACTCACATCTTTCAATGTTGAAAGTATGTCCTTCAAAGCTGATGGTGCAACTGCATCATGGGATATGAGCTTTTGCAGACAGGAAAGTCCAATTACACTGAGTTTTACAGTCTTCACTTCACATGCCATTAAAAAAATTCGTAGAATATCCTCATTATCTGCAATTTCACTAGGACTAGACAAATTGCGGAGCTGCAGGACAAAACCATGAGCAACAGGATCAAATTCCGTTGCAAAAAAATATATATGCACTGTCTCTCTTTGCAACGATAAAACTCCAAAAAGAAACACTCATTAGGCAGCCTAGCAAGTAAGGTAAGGGTCTAGGAGGCAGAAAGATACAGATATAGCTAACATAACATTGAGAACGAAAGAACAAATATCAAAAGAGCCCTTGGATAACCAATAACAGGGCAAAACATGTTAAGCCCTCCTTTAAGATTCTATACTTTATTAATGAACGGTAATATCAAATTCCCCCATTAGACTAAGATGGAACTCATCCAGTGCACAATTCCAAACCCATATAAAAGAAACTACTTTCTCAAACCTGAGCATAAAAATGAAGTGAAAGCAACCATAGTTCCCAAAATTGCATGTAAGAACTATTCAATAAGTTCCCATCGGTCTATAACTTCTACATAGAGACGAGGATGCTTACAGAAGGTGATGATAATATAGCCAATGAAACTCCAAATTGAGCGCAAACAGAGGCTATTAATGGCAATGTACGTAACATTCTGGGAATACTGGAAACATTATACTGCCAACTAAAGTGACAGTAGTCACTGTATAAATAGTGCCCCTGAACTCACCAAGTTCACATACATCGTTCTACAACTGTCCACCATAGCCGAAACTACTACAATATGGTTGCTACCAATGAAATGAAAAAGTTCAGATCAAACCGAAAGATTAAGATTGTGATAGGAGTAGGACAGCATTACTTCAACTCTCAACTGAAACACCATAAACTAGGTTGCAACAAAATACGAGCACCATATTAAAATTTCAGCAGCAGTAGTCGTAAGTCGGAAGGCTTCCAACAACCAAATCTCAGAAAACTACTACTGTTTTAATACTAAAACGGCATCCATCTCCAAATTCCAATGCTTCCAACAGTTGCACAGCTCACACATTAATATCCACCATCGGCAGAAACATTTGAACAACAGTATCCGATCAGGGGAAATTCACATTTTACTAACCGGCATAACTAAATTCTATCCTCATTCCTCCATCCTAATATCCTCGTTGAACCAATGTAAGTCACACTCCTGATCACCATTTCTACACAATACAAACACTAGACAAATGTGCAGTGTGTGAACGTATTGGGAATCGAGTTGCAAAGAAAGAGTCGGAACTCCTAACCTTTATGATTGCATGCTCCGCCCCATCTTTAACGGCAGGGTAACGGCGACGAGCTTCGGCCGATAGAGCCCGAAGGTCCGATTCCAAGGCCGCCATGAGAGCCATGGCTGGAGCTCTTCCCGGGGTCGAACTCGCTCCAGGAATGACAGGGGTAGGGAACTTGGACGAATTTCGTGATGGAAGAAAATGAAACGAGGTGAAAATGGTGTGCGATTAGCAAACTAGGAGGGAGATCAATTCAAAGAAAGAAAGATTGGCGAGGAAAATTGAACAAGAGGGGAGCAGTGGAGAATGAACGAAACCGAAACAGATCCGAGATCCGTCGGTTTCCGCACGTGCGGGAGGGGACACGTGTGAATGAAATGCAAGCTGAAGGTTGGGCTTTGACTTTTGGACCTGTCGTGAGGCCGATGATTAGTGATATGGACCCAATTTGGGCTTCTACCACTTTGTAACATTTAGGGTTGTTAATGAACCAAGCCGCTTATGAATGATTCGGTGTGCGACTCGAGAAAAACTCGTGTGACACTCGATTCGTTTTAATCGAGCCGGCTCGCGAACAAGCTCGTTAACTAAACGAGCCGAACTCGAGTCATACCATGTTCAGCTCGAAAGCTCACGAAGAAGCTCATTTAATGGTTTGACATAAAAAAAGAATTAGAATTCATGGATTTTATGTATTGAAATTGAGATAAATATTGTGTTTTACTTTGCTGCAGATTTGAATGTAATTTTGTGCACAGTTTTAGGTCAATCTTGAGCTGTCATGAACATTTTATGAGCTAAACTCGATTTTGGGCTCGTTAAGCTTATTTGACGAGCCGAGCACAAGTCGAGCTCGAGCTTTCATTTTCATAAACGAGCCGAGCTCGAACTTGCATATTAAAGCTCGTGACGAACACGAGCCGAGCTCGAGCCTGAAAATATATTAACGAGCCGAGCCCGAACTATGACAAAGCTCGGCTCGACTCGGCTCATTAACAGCCCTAGTTACATTATTGGTGGGTAATACGTGAACTGACCACTAATGGGGCATCTAGACCCGCAGTAGCGTGGGGAGGGGCATAGATATCTACTTGTGACCCGCCCTGCCCTGCCCTGCCCCGTCCCACCATGTTCTTAGCTCATTATGTCTTAATTTCTTGTAATATCTATTCATATTTCTATATTTTGGCTATTCTTTAACTAGTTAGAGCTGATCTTTCAACTAGTTAGACTCAATTACCTATTATATTGTCACTATTTCTCATTCATAAGTGTTTTCTCCATTCGATTTATTGTAAAAAGTAAAATTTTGTGCATATTTTTTTTAAATAACGTATAAGAAGAGTGGGTCGACCCACCCCGCCCCACCCGTAGTAGCATGGGGTGGGGCATGGGTATTGAAGTACCCGTCCCGCCCATTGTCATCACTAATCTTGACATCCCAATATAAAGGTGTTGAATCTTTGAGTCAGATTATAGTGTATATGTGATTCTGGCTTCGGTTTGTTGTTGCCAAAATTGTGGTCGAATCTAATATCATAATTACTCGTTGATATCCTCCACTCCAAGACATTTCAAGATTTTCAATTGCACCTTTGATTTCAGCTCTTGTCATTAGGGCTGAGAAACAGTGTGTTCTGGTCCAGACCAGACCATATATACAGTCTATGGTCCAGACCGAAAGGCTAGAGTATAGACCAGACCACATACTATACAGTGCGGTCTGGTCTGTCTGGCACGTGTCTGGTCCAAATATACCACAATGAACGAAAAATGAACAATTTGCCTAGTCAACCACTCAAAAAATTGAATCAATTACCGAGAAAAAATAATTTTTTTTCCTTAAAAAATAAACTGAAACATGCATGAAGAATTTTGACATCCTAAATCTTAGTAAACAACAAAAATACAAAGTCAAAACATCCCAATTTGCTTCATAACGTAATAAACATTAACATAATGTCATATGGAGACTCGATCGTCTCTACTCTCCAGTAAATTGTGAATAAAAGAGAAGACGAGTTTCTCAAAATTAGGGTTGAGACTTGGGTCTCGTTGGGAGAATCGGGAGAGTGGTCGAGTGGGGTGCTAACACGTAATGGGAAGTCGAATGGGTCAATGATTTGGTATAGTAAACTCCAATCTAGACTAGACTAGACCAAGAGATCAAAACATCATATAATACAAACCATTCTTAATGGTCTACGGTCTGGACCAAATTGTGTGGTTCTGTTTGGTCCATGGTTTTTCAAACAATCTGATCTATTTTCCCAGCCCTACTTGTCATGGTACAAGAACCAAGGTTAGAAGTTTATGCTCTCTCAACATCTTCCCCATCTCTTGGTGGATTAAACCTCCAGTGTTTGCAAAGGTATGTACCTATTTGTCTAACCGAACCATCTGTTTGAAAATTGATTGAACTTTAAAGTGGAAGGCATCAAGTCAACATTTGTTTAGTCTTTGTTAGTTGTGATTAATGACATTTGATATCATCATCTTAGATCTTATGAATGATGGATGTCCAATTAATGGTCCTCCGAGCAAGAATTTCTAAGTTAAGAGTCCTCTTGTAAAAAAATCATCAACTTGAGGCCCCTCCTTTTTCTCTTTAGGTTTCCCATAATCCCGTCTTCTAAATTGAGGGGAGAGTTCAGAGCCTGATTAGGGATTTTGAGGTGATGCCAAGTTTCCTAAACAATGGTACATCCCCCTGAGAACATGATCCACTAATTTAGGAGTAGATTTTCAAAAGTTACGTTTACCTAATCTTGGTAGTTAGTGTTGCTTCCTTTCAAAATTGGTTAGGATCCTGTTATGAAGAGCCAATCATGAGAAGTGTTTGATTATGCTAAGCACGTCCCAGTTTTAGAGGCTCTTCCCGTCTATAGTCATAGTGCTCACTGGGTCTCCTTTGTTTGTGTGTTGCAACCAGTCTACAGATGCCATATATGTTGATTTAGTCCTGGACTTTTGGTCAACTTTCATCCGCTTTATGGTTCTATCTTCCTCGAGTTCCAGGTTTAGAGGATCCATTTATAGAACAAAGAATCATCGACTGAGGGAAGTTTAGGGTGATTTCATTCCAATTCCACTCACCTTTTTCATTGGTTAAATCAGTTATCGAAGCATGGAGATTGATGTTTGTGTCATTGTTAGTGATGTGGTCATCTAATAAAATCTCTTTCATCATCCAAGGTTGCATCTAAAACTCGACGTTATAGCCTTCTTGAATATCTAGGATAACACCTTGTTGAATTGTTGGTCATGTTATAAGAATTCTCTTCTGAAGCTTTGAAACGCAAATGTGTTTCATTCACACACCACCTACACCATTCGGCTTTGATTATTTGCCCTGCAAGACTCTCATCCAGAGCTAATCCTCATTATTTAAAATTTTCTACGCCAACTTTATCAAATAAACAAATTTCAGTTCCTAGGGAATCCGGAGACCAAGACCTCCATGCTCTTTTAGTTTACAATTAGTCCCCCAGGTAACATGGTGAACTTTTAACTTTCCCTCCTAACTTCCCCACACAAAGGTGCATATTTTTTTCCCGATTGTGTCACAAATATACATTGGTATCACTATTTTTGGTGTAAGAAAGAGAGGGAAGAGCATTAAGAAAAGACAAAGTCAAAGTCACTCTTCCAACCAAGGATAACAATCTGGATTTCTAGTAGGAAAACTAATGGTAAATTAGTTCCAAGTTAAAATTGTACGTATCCCCATTTTTAGGTCTATAAATTTGGATCATGTCGTCGCCGATGGGTTTTTTTTCCTGTTGTTTAAAATCTAGCATTGAAAGACTGTAGTCCTCTACCACTTCAAGTCTAATCATCCAATCACCATTGAAATAGAAAATAGAAAACAAGGTTGGTGAGATGAAATCATACGACAACTTCCCATCCTTGAATCCATTAGTACAAGTCTCCTTCAAAACACCCGCACTCGAAGCAGACAGTGTGAAGACCTTCATATTTGATTCTACAGAACTCATAATTTTTATATGATATTTTGCGAAAAGCGTCTTATGCAAAGCAAGTTCATTGCAGATTCACACATAGTTTCCCCTAATGCAATGTATCATATTGTAATCAATTTTGGCAACCTTTCCAATTTGCCTCCAACGTGAGTGAATAACTTTTATCATAATAACTCTTGTCAAAGATTAAGTCTTTTTTAAGAAAGGGAAACGATTATTATCTTCCCAAGATCCAGTAGATGAGCATCTTTCCCCACCTATCTTTGATTCCTTTGATTGTGGTTCTCTTGATTGTTAGTAGACACTCTAGGTCATTTTTATCATCATCTCTAGCGAATTTGTGTGAAATGTGGTAGATTTTCTTATGAGGCCGAGACATGAACTTGATTTCGACTAATGCTTCATTATATAAAGTCTTTGGGGTTATCATTTATATCTCTTTCTCCCTAAACTTGATTGGGTTACCCTATTGACCAGTGAATCAAAGTCCACGCTGAGAATCTTTCTTTACTATGAGGCTCGGGTTTCTTGTTATGTTAGTGTTTTCTGGCGAGAAAACTTGCGTTGAATTGAGATTGGATTGCACCTTTGACTTCTTTGGACAACGATTTCTAAACACGGTTCAAACCTCTTCAAACACAGTTCGAACGAGGGTGTTTGATTGATGATTTTTGGGAATGAAAACTAAATTAAGTTACTCGTACTCCTGTGGAGGTTCAACGAGAGCTCCAAACTACGACTAGAGCTATATTTACAGAGAAAGATAAAAACTTGACACAGGCATCAGTTGTTTGGTTGTGGAACCCTTCTCTCTGTCGAACCTTCCTCCTATTTATAGCTATGGAGAGATAATTGTCGTAGAAAACCTCCTCTTGGATAACTGCTTCAAAGAACTGCTCCCCCTTCTTCGGAGTGGTGGTTACTCCTTCAACCGTCTAGGCGCTTCTCTTGGAACCGCCATGGGTCTTGGAGTGTAGCTTGACTCGCCTGGTCTTGTTTCAAATCTTGTTTCATGCTAGTCTTTTGATAAACATGTGGTGTCTCAAAAAGGGGACGTGGTCCTCTTGCCTCGCGACCATGGACTTCTTACTCATGTCCATGGCCCTCTTGGGACTTAGTCACTAGTGATATAATGTTGCACCACTACACCCTTCCAATTCATGCCTATGGCCCTCTCTGAGGCGACATGGACATCTCACTCCTACACATGGCCCCTCTTGTGAGGCGGCATGTCCTTCCCGGACTTAGTATATTTTTGGGTCGTTTGAGCGTGGTCATGAGGCGGCATGGCTTCTTTATCCATGGACATGG